GACGGGCGCTATGCTTTGTCAGCTGCCTGGTGCGCCGATTGTCGCACGGGTTGGTGTGCGGCGTGTGAGAAGGGACATCTTTGTGAGCCTCAGCCGGAGTTTCTACAAGTTGATGATCATTTGGTTCTGGCCAACACGGCTGAGGATGATGCACCTGATCAAGGATGGCTAGACTAGAACATGGGGCAGCCCCTGAAGAGCTGAAGACAGAGATGGCCATCAATCAGACCTTCCGTCGCCTTCAGCGAGAAGAGGACCAACGGAAGGGAGACTTCAGCGGCATAGGGAGCCGCTATGGCTATGTGCATTTCGTTGGACCATCTCTCCGGGCGACCAAGACCATCCGCAATCAGGTGGCCAAGCTACACGGATCACTTGGCCATCCCTCAAATGAACGACTGACCCGTATGCTCACCATCAACGGGGCAACCAAGGAAGTGGTCCAGGCATCCAAGGATTTGAGATGTGAGATTTGCGCACGTGTGCATCCACCGGCCTCAACACCCAAGTCGAGTTCGACGAACCCAGAACGCTTCAATCAACATGTATCCTCCGACTCCTTCTTTGTTCTGGATGCCGAGGGCCGTCGATGGAACATCACACACTTGGTCGATGGGTTTTGCTCGCTGCAGTACGCGGTGCTATCCAAGAACCCATCGTCTCAGGTCAGCTCCGACCTCTTGTTTGACCGGTGGATCTTGATTCATGGGCCTATGCAACGACTGACTGTCGATGGCGGCCCTGAGTATTGTGGACAATTTCCTCACCTCTGCGCCCTGTATGACATCAACCTGCAGGTGCTTCCCACGTCAGCCAAATGGAAGAATGGGGTGGCTGAGAGGCACGGCTCGATACTCAAACTGATCATGCTCAAGATGATCCATGAAATGTCTTTGAGCAAGGAGCCTGAGCTGCGCTACGCCTTGGCCATGGCGGCGCAGGCCAAGAACAGATTGAGCCACAAATGTGGGCGGTCTCCTTTGCAGGTCGTCCAAGGAAGAGATGTGGTGCTGCCATCATCCCTGGTAGAACAAATCGACCAAGGAGAGATCAAGTTTGCCACCAACAGCTATTTGATGGAACGACAAGAGCAACAGAAGATGGAGCGCATGCGACAAGAGGCTGCTGCCGCTTTTCACTGGCTAGACTCCAATGAACGTCTGCGCATGGCTCTCAACAGCCGGTCAAGACCGCCACACTTGAAGGCAGATGCTCTGACACCAGGAACAGTGGTGTACTTCTTCAAGCAGCCAGCGCAGAACAAGAGGATGCAAGACTATGCCACAGCCTACCAAGGCCCCGCCATCGTGGCTTGCTCTGATGGTCCTGATCGGCTGTGGGTCCGGTTCAAAGGAGCTGTGGTCCGAGTGGCTTTAGAGAATGTCCGCTTAGCCACGGAGGAGGAGGAGGTTGCCACGTCGTTCATCAAAGAGTCCATGGCGGAGTTGGAGGCTGAGTTGACAGGGGGACGTCGACCACCAGGCTATGAAGATCAAACAGAAGAGAAGGATGAACCTGAAGCAGCACCAGCGGCTTCTCTTCCCGGCCCGCCTGGCGAGGTGCAGATTGACTCGGGCAACTTGGCGGGTCGGGCTGAGCCGCAACAAGTGGAGGCATCAGAGACACCGGGGACAGAAGAGTCCACTGTGCCACCTCCTCAAGTGCCTGTTCCCACTCCCGAAGTTATTGAAATGGCCAAGGCTTCGGAAGACCGGCGCCGCATGATGGATGGACTACCACCACGCCATCGAGTGGGACCCTATGAACCAGTGGGCAAGGCAACCGTGCCGCAGCGCATCGACTTCTTTGAGAGGGGAGGCAAGGGGGACACTTGGCGTGCGATCCTCGAAGAGGCGGGTGCTAAGTTGAAGCTCGCGGATACTTCCCCTCTATTGCGCCTTGCTGCTGAGAAAGATGTTCAACATCTTCATCGAGAACTACAAGCAGGTGTGGAGGAGAGTGTGCGACAACGTGATGAAGGGGGAGAGGCCACGTTGAAGACACAAAGGGCCGAAGCTTCATCATCGACCATAGTGGAACCAGGAGTTAGCACTTTGGCTCCTCTGGTAGCAGAAGCTTTGATGGTCTCAGAAGCTTGGGCTCTCAACTCTACCACCCTCCTGACGGAAGGCGAGCGCATGAAAGCGGTGCTGGAGCAATTTGATGATGATGCCCTACAAATGGAGCGAGAGAGAGGGCACCGTGCAGGTCCTGAGCCAGGAGCAAGGGGGGAGATATACCTCAAGGACATGACGCCTACCGAAGTGCGGCTGACCATACCAGCACTCATCAAGGCTTTGGAGATCCACTTCACCTATGACGCCATTGAGCCGGTACCCGTGGACCAGTTGATCAACAAAGATTCCACTTTGCAGAGCCGCTTCGTGATTGTCAATAAGAAGTGGCTCCAGAGAGAATTTGGCCCAAAAGGGAGACGATGTGTTGGCGGACATTTGGATCCGCATGCCGGTGAGTATGCCACCTCGTCGCCAACAGCACAGTTGCTTGGGCATCATCTCTTGTTGGTCATCACGGTGACCTTGAAGTGGACAGCCTATGGGGGTGACATCACCGCGGCCTTTCTACAGGGAGAGCCCCTGCCTAGAGACAAGCCCTTGTACATCTGGTTCCCACGGAAGATGCCTCTTGAAGTTCAACAATATGTGGGCCAGAAGTTGAAGGGCTATCGAGAAGATGTGGTCAGAGTGGTGAAGGGTGTTTTTGGCCTCAACGAATCACCTCGTTTGTGGTACTTAGGCCTGAGGAAACATCTCCAGCAGCTGGGCTTCCGAGAGATGACTCTGGCACCTTGTGTTTTCACACTTCATCAAAAGGGGGTTCTTTCTGCCATGGCAACGGTTCACGTTGACGACGTGTTGCTGGCAGGAGGTGATGCTGCAGAACCCATCTGGACTGAGCTTCAACGACGGTTGACCTTTGGCAGCTGGGCGCCCATGAGTGATGGATTAAAGTTCCTGGGTCGCCATTTGAAACAAGATACTAGCACTTTTGAGATCAGCACTTCGATGGCAGACTATTGCGCCGACCTCACTGAAGTGAACATTGGTGGGTCTGAGTCGGACGATCGTGCCTTGACTGAGTCTGTGGTGAGTTTGCTGCGATCCATCAACGGCAAGCTCAGCTGGGCAGCGCGACAGAGCCGACCCGATGTGCTGTTCCTCGTGTCGCTTCTCCAGCAGAGTATGAAAGCACCACAAGTACGCCATCTGCGTATGGCCAACCAAGTTATTCGACAACTCAAGAAGAATGTGACCCTGAACTTCGTGCAACTTGGCTGTTCGCTGGATGAATTGCTTTTTGTGGTGGCTACTGATGGAGCCTATGGCACTATGCCAGAGGGTAAATCCCAACAGGGATGGTTGGTGGCTATCGCTCATCCGAACATCAAGGAGGGGCACAGCCGCATGAATTTGGTGGAATGGCAAAGCTCTTCATGCAAGCGGATTGTCCGCTCCTCTATGGCCATTGAGGCGAGCGCAGCTTCTATGGGCTATGAGCATGGAGAATATGTCCGAGCTCTTTTTGGAGAAATCATTTGTGAAGATTTTCAGGTGAGGAAGTGGGGACATTTTGTCCGAAGGTGGGAATTGCTTTTGGTCCTTGATGCGAGGACTGCACATGACACCTTGCAGACAGAGAGTCTGCCTCAGGATCGTCGCACGGCTTTGGACCTTTTGGCGATCAAGGAGAGCTTGCTTGATGAGAGCAATCGCTCTTTGTGCAGGTGGGTGCCGGGACCCCAACAGATCTCTGATGGGCTCACCAAGGAGAAAGACAACAAGATGTTGCTGTCGTTCTTGGAAAACAATAAGTGGAGCCTCAAGGAAGACACCACGTGGCAGGAACAACGTGAACGGCAACGCGCCCACCAGAAAGCCTATAAGGCTAATGCAAAGGCGGCTCGAAAGGGGGCCTCAGGGGGTGAGTTGAATTGCACTCACGTCCGTTCGATACGCATTTCACTTCTGTGCCACCTGAGCCGCCCTTCGAAGCTTCAAGGTATGCCCGCGAAAAGACCGCTCACGTTTTGCCACTTTAAGTGTTTCTCCATTTCCGAGAGTCGTAGAGTCGGTATGCATCTCCAAGTTGACCCTCTGTGGCTGCACGGACTGGTGTGATAGGTGGGTGATCTCCCATGTCGACGCCTCAAAGAGGGTCCACAAAGCTAAAAGAGTCCACACGAAAAACAGCACATAATTTTGTTTGAGGGGGGTAGGCCGTAGAGGTAGCTAGTAGAAGAGGCAGCTAGCTAGTACCCTGCTTGTACCCTACTAGCATGGACGCAGGATAGCTCACACTTCTTCAAGGAAGCTCCCCCCGCCGTGGGGGAAGCTTCCTTGAAGAAGCGCTCACACTAATGATTTGGTTCCTAGACTTTTAAGGAAACTTACATAACTACTTATACCGCAACTTCAAAGAGACCCGCCTTCTCTGGGTCGAGCAAGGCCCCCTGAAAGGAGATCGTTCGAATAGGAGCCCCACACGGGATGACCAGTTTGCGCTCGGACAGCGCCCTAGCGGCTCTGGCACCGTGTGCGCACCACGGCACAGGCAGTCGAAACATTCCCCTCAAACAAAAACAGAACCTGCTGAGTCTTCCACCCAATAGGCATGACACGTTGCAAAAAGGCATAAAAAGACACTGGCCAGCCTGAAGATCGAAGTTCTTGGGGTAGGTGTTGGTTTCAGTTCGCGGGTATGTCAAGTAACCGTCCAGGTACAAGCGTTCGGCCAGGTGCAATGCTTGTTGGGGTCCAAGCCCGAGCCTGTGGGAGCGATGCCCTTGCTACTAGTAGCCATGCCCTTGCTACTAGTAGCAATTCAATTATTCTTCAATGTGTCTTCTTTCAAACGCTGTTACATGTGTGAAACAATATGCGTTTCAAGCTCTTTTAGAGGGACTTCCCGCAGCTTGCTGCAAGTACTCGTAGACCGTATATAGACTCGTTTGTATCTGAGAGATATGTGTGCACTACCCTCTATAGCATACCCTGTATAGAATGCCCCAAATGGACCCCCACAGGTCCATGGTTTATAGAGGAGATTCGCTCCCCTATTATATATAACCGCCTGACCCCTGTGCTATTCAGAACGCTCGCCTCGTACTTGCCATCTTCAGCATAGCAACAGTGTTGAGTGCTTGTGGACGTGCCATCCGATCCTCTTTTTGTGTGACGTCTGTCACGACAGCTTTTGCTTGATCTTCTTGGACCAGGCTCATGCTTTTTTTTGCAAGCGCCCATGTCAAAGGTTTGCTCTCTGTCCCACTGAAGTGCCAATTCGCGGCCAGCTTTGGACAGGGTCACATCCACTGTGTAGTAGGTTTTCGGTTGGAATGTATTGATCTCGTCGCTTCTTTGAACGCAGAACCAAAGTGTTGGAGTTTGACAAGGCCCGTAAGATACAAGGTTCGTGTCTAAGTCTCCATACTTCCCTTGGAAGAACTTGGTCTGGAAGCGCGTGAAAGCGCAGCCAAGCTTCAAATCCATTTCCTCAACAGAATAGTTAATTCTGTTGATTGGACGACTCAGTCGACTCTAGTCTCCACGTTACTCTCACCGACTTGACTTTCCCAGTGTAAAGACCGACCTCTAAAGGCCTCGAAATGTCTCCTTTACCAGAAAAACGGAGAGAAAAACGCCCCTCCAAGCATCTGCCCGTGCATCCACGGAGTCGGACATCGCTTTGTTTGGAGATCCAAGATTTGCCATCGCCCACTTGAGATCGACGGGCGCCAGGGATGAAAACTGCGCCCGCCAGACTTGTTGCTCGCCGTGCCAAGTGGACATGTTTGGGATGGCATTCTCCATGACCTGGGCATTGAGTGCTCGAAAGCCTAGGAAGATTTGACCTATTCGCACTTGGGTGTCTCCAAAAAACAACCCATTGGACCAGGCAGACCCCTCAATTTCCAGGTCGCACCGTACACATGTTCATGAAAACGTAGCGCCTCGTAGCAAATATTCTCGCCCTCGCGATCACAGTCCAGCCACAGAACTAAGTAGGTGCATCCTTTGGCCTAGCAAAGTTGTGAATCGTCTACTTACAAAAGTCTGTGCCAGAAGTATGTGCTGTATCAAGTCTCAGCATCAGGACATCAAAGCAAAGTAAACAAAAACTATACTATAGATCAAACAAAACATCCACGAAAGCTTGCCAAGGGTTCTCCTACCGATGGTAGCTAGGGCATTCAAGCAGGAAGGGCCTCTGTCTGAAAATGCTTGGGCATCCTGACAGCAAGGAAATCGACTGCTAGTTTTTTTTTGTGGCGTCTTCGAAAAGTTTTGCAAACAGCAGTACAGCTGGGGATGGGTATGAGACTATGGACTCAGCTATTGCGAGCACTGCTTGATTGATCAAGAGGTAATGACCGAAATATATCCAATGTGTTAGTGAAGGCCTCAAACTTTGGAGGTAAGGGCCCCTTCTCCTCTCCCAGTTTGCTTCCCATTGTGGCTTGAGGTGCACCATAGAGAGGACTTACCAAGTGTTGAAGACTATGTCTAACCCGCGAGAATTCACCCGGTCGTGTCTGGATGTGCTGTGTCAATAGGCTGTCAGCATCAGCTCAAAGGCACCACACATGCATGCACATCCAAACAGTACTCAGGTGCTCAGTTCATTGACCCTCAGTTGATCGTTTGGCGCCTCAGTTTGGGATTGGCCTCCACCTTCCTCGTGGGTGCGTCAAAAAGGGTCAGAGGATCAACTCTGTCCCAATTGTTGTACTCCGGCGGGAAGTCGATGGAGTAGACATGACCTGACCACCACGCGACGTCTCGACCACGAGGGTCCATGACCCGACAACCTGGACCCAGAAAAAGACTTGGCAAGTCAACCCCATGCCCACTGCAATATCTGGCTGTGCAAAGGGAGGAAGAAGTTTCTGCGACCGGCAGAAACTCCCCTGACCGGGCATCCGACCAGCACAGCTGGTCACCTTGAACCAAGCACGTTGGCCATAGAAGTCTCCCTGCCACCTTGGATGCAATGTTCCTGCTTTGTTGCCAAACAAAGATCCTGAATCAGTTTTAGTTTTAATTCTATTGAATTCTTGCTTCTAATGGCTTCTTGTTCCTAGTAGTAAGGCCAGGAGCCCCTAGTAGCGTCCTTGCTCCTAGTGGCGATGCCCTTTGCTCCTAGTAGTTTCTTTGATGGAAAACCCTTGAAAGGCCACCAGGAAACATCTGCTCGGTCATCCGAGGCACTCATGAACTTTGCAAGCAGGCGATACCTCATGGCACTGCTTGGAAAACTGGGAGACAACATCATGCCTTGACATTCGTCAAATTTTGTGATGGCATGGTTTGGTCAAGCTAGGAGGATTTTTGCAGGCAAAGGGACTCCACCGCGCGTACTGTACTTTCTGCCCGGTGCTAAAGCATCCGCCAATGTTTGTGCAATAGAGGGCTTCTCTGCCACCATCAGAACCTCGCCAACTGAAGAATTCCAGTTAACTATATATGTAAACTGCTACGTAAACTGCTCAAGATCTTCTTCCATTATAAAGATTATAAGGGTTCAAAAGGGCGAAACAATAGAAGCAAACTAGGCAAACTGGAGGATCAGGGCATTCATGTGTCAAACTGGTCAAACTTCATGCGAGCAGCACTGACGACCATGGTTGCAGGCTCAGGCTGCCATGGAGAAAGCAACCTCTCTCGCTATCTCCGCACTTTGGAGCCACAAAAATGGTGGGAGAGCAACACGGTGGTCTCTCCAAAGCGCCATAGCCTTCTCATGACCTTTCCAGTTAAACTCCAATGAGCAAAACAATTTCGGCAAACTTTCCTTTCCGGTGTCTTTCAAATCACGGCTCGACGGCCCTGCTTGGCCGCCGGTGCATTATCGTGTCGTGAGACGCAGGGGCAGCCTTGCTGTGGGGCTGAAACAGCTCTGGAAGCGGTCGAGCTGCCAGCCAAGGGCTGCAGGGCACACGGCAATCTTTGTGATTAGTATCCTCCAACCACTTTGCGTTGGCTGACCAAGTATTACTTCGGTGCCAATGGTGCCCAGTCCTTTAAGCCCGGCTCAACAGTGATTCTTGGGGCTTCGGTTTTAACAGAACATGGCTGGAAATGCATGACAATGTGAAGATTGCGGTCACTGTAAGGACTGTCGGTCCAGGTCACTTGTCTTTGCTCGCAAGTGAAGGAGCTTTGCAATGGCAAGCTCTTGTTGGAGATTTTTGCCAGCCTTGGGCTTTGTCTAAGCAAGTCAGGTGCAGACGAGTGAAGGGTGTAAAAGTACCGAAAGCTTTGTCTGCACTTGGTAAACAAATGAGGTGCTTTCATCAAATATGTCAAAAGTGTCGCTGCAATCGTGCAATGCCAAGATGATCCAAGATGTGCCTTTGCTGACTGAAGAGATGCTGAAGGCCGATGTGGGAATGACGTTGCCTCGAATCAAACGCGACCAGACCGGACTGCTGTCGGCCGATGTCGTTTTTTTCTCCGGCCTTTGGCGTCAACTGCACTCGGCCGATGGGGACTCCAGGACGCTTCCCAAGACCATCTGCCCAACTCACCTCAACAGCGGAAGGAGCTTTCTTCGCCGAATCTGGTGAGTTTGCCAAAACCGTCTGAAACATTCCCACACCCGAAAAATGATAATAAATTTTCTGCCAACAGCCTTCCACGTGAAAACCCATGTCTTGTGAATGCCCAAAGGTCTGAGACCCTTGCCGACTGAGGTGACAATCGGTGTCCTGGAATGGTCCGGAAGGCAGAAGGCAAACGCAGCATTCAATCATCTATCCCGAGTCTATTCACCCCTTTGGAAGGAAAAAATGGAGCTCCACGGCCAAAAGTACCAATCCCAAACCAAATACCTAGCGTCCTAGTAGGCGTCCTTGCTCCTAGTAACTTAGTAGCTCCAAACCAAATACCTAATACGGCTTCAGATCCGATCCACTATGCATTTGGCCATTGCCTCCGCATGCCTCTGCATCGTCGATCCACCCGGCTGCGATCGTCGGCGAAAAGTCTCGTTGTGGAGAGCGCAGGAGAGGGGAGAGAGTGCAGGGTGAGGTTGAGCTGTCCTGTTATTTTCAGTACCTGGGTCCAGATTGGGAGGATTTGTTGCCTTTTCTAGGGAAGGGAAGTACTCTATGCCTGGCAGTTTGAAACCAAAAGGCCAGGACGATGCCCGGAGCTGAATGGATTGAATCAGCAAGCATGCGCGAACCTTGTGGCTTGTCAAGCTTTCCATCACAGTGAATCCCTGCCGACATCCGAAACGCAGCTCGGGCACGGCTCGGCTGGTTTCGTCCTGTCTGCAGACTATAAGAGGAGGTCGCCGCTGTGGACCTGTTCGCGGGTGGGTCCTTTTTTCGTTCGATACGCGCTTTCGGGTCCAAACTTCCGGTGATGTTTTGGTGTGCCTTGAAGAGGGGCTGAAGTAGTTGCGCTGTCCACCTCAGGCTTCGTGTCGATGGAATCGGTCGATGGAAGTCAAAGTCCTTAAGCCCGCAGCTGGTTTGCATTTGGCTAACACAGGGCTTGAATTCGGGACATGGTGGAGCAAACTGCCACGGTCAGGGCATGCAAGAAGAATGAAGCAAGCAACATGAATACCTGAATACCTAAAGATCCTGAAGAGTGGCTGTGCCTTCATCTCATTCTGGTCCACATAGCACCTCCTTTCTTTATCGCATTCCTGAGGCAACATGCTTTGTTTTTGTAATTCTTTGCCCAAAAGGACACAGAAATAAGCCAAGATGAGCCAAGCATCTTCCCGACAGGCATGTTGCAGCTCAGAACAGGTCAGACCTGAAATTCATACTCGCGCACAACTCAAGACATGCTATTTGACACCCGCTCTGTTCTCAAAGCCCTATTGAGGTTCTAGCCCATCAGGCCAAGGGCTCAAACGCTAACAGCAAGAACTGTCCACTTGAAGCAAAACAAGAAGAAAAAGGTGTTCCTCTAAGTTCTGCAGATCTGGTCTCAGTATGTCCATTTCTACTGGAAGTCTGCAAAAGTGAAAAAGACTTCTTCACGTTCTGTCAGCACGCTGCAAACGGCGAAAAAACGCGGCGACAAAAGGGTGGCCAAAAAGGATCATGAGATATGCCACAGCTCACAGTCATCCTGACAGTTCCGGCGATGTTTTTGCGCGCTGCACCTCCCGTCCTTGCTTCTGTACCAAACGCCATGGGCTTTCGGCTCAAGCAGGCCATGCATAAGCAATGCGCATTAGTATTCAAACAGGTCCTACGATCTTTGGATACGTTTGGCATTCCTTCTGAAGCCCAAAGCGTTTGGCTGGAGGGATTAAGAGTTCGGTGGCTGTACCTCACGGCCTGCCTGCATGGCTTGCCACGCTTCAAAAAGTGAGGCCTCGCTGGGACGAAGAACTGAGCGTGAAGGGTTACTGAAGTTTTAAGTCACCCTCGCTCGCTGTGAAAACTTCGGGGCCGCCATTCCAGGTTGCCTTTGGAATGGCGCCATTCACTGGGAGAGAACCATGCCATTTGCTGAAGGACCGGCACAAGCCAAAAGTTGCAACAAACAAGTCATGTTTCGATGAAGTCCTTATGAGCAAGGTTCTGCCCAGGGTACGCTGCCGACAAGGCGCCTAAAGCCAAGATCTATAAGTGCGCTTTGGTCTACAGTTGTTAGGAGAAAACATTGCACAAATCTATGTAAACCTTTGCAATGTAGACCAAAGCTTGAAACAATATTGGTGCCGCTCACAAAAGCTGGCACGTATCAAAAACCTCTGGACACTGGACCATTTGGTGTCGCTGATGACTTTTCGAGCATTTGACGCTACGGTGGTATGACAGCCTTCAAATGGACTGCAATTCCAACCAGCATCACTTTAGTCCGAATCGCTCTCGATGGCCTGCAGGAAAAGAAAGCGAAAGCGGAAAGAAGGGGCGAATTGAGTCGTCAAGCTTGCCCAAATTTATCACTATTCAAACGGCTCCATCGAACCAAAGGAAATCCGATAGTGTCTCTTCACACGTCCTCGAGTTCAGATTCACATTCGAGGAGAGGACATGAGAAAAGGGGTTGGAGATCTTGCTTGACAGTCCGAGAGCTTTGCGGAGGAGATCTTTGCACAGCGTTACTCTGACGTCAGAAGTCTTGCTCTGACGTCATGCGACTGCTTCGTTGTCGATCACCTCTGCAAGGGAGTTTCTCAAGGTGGCCGTAACCTGAAAAACTTGTGGGTATCTTTGTGGTGCCATCAAACTTCCCTGAGTGCGCTGGACCTATATAAATTCTCTCTTGCTGTCCCTTTCAGGTGGCGGTATCACGGCTAACCTGAAAACAACTTTTGCCGCAGTGGGTGCAATGCTGAAGAGATTTGACCAATTTTGCACCTTCATCGTACACGTTGCACTCTGTTGTCGCAGTCCAAAAACGGAGTCTTGGCAGAAGTTACAAACATATTTGGGAAGTGTCCGGAAAACACCAACTCCATGCTCGCAAAACCTCATGGTGCGTAGACATAGACATAGACTCAAACCCGCATGCTCTGCAAACAAAAAACACCATGTGCCACCCACCCCTTGGTCGGCGACACCGATGCCGATCCGCGCCTCGCAGAGCTGCGCCAGGTCGCCGTCGCTCCACGAACGCCGCATGGACGCAGAGAGAGGCATCTCTTCGTCGATGCGGACCGCCTCGGGGCGCTCGCCGCGGGCATCGCTGCCGGGTCTGAAAGGTCAAAGACAATGGCTTTTCGTGGGCAGCTTAGGATGATGTGTGTGTGTGTGTGTGGGGGGTTCTGTCTTGCAGTTCCAGAAAAGAGAAGGACCGAGACCCTGATTTGGGGCCAAACACACATGGTTCGTTCCCTTTCCCGGCCGGTTCTTCAATCGAACCTCCATGAAGGTGCCCTTGATGCGAAGTATAATATTGTCATCGTCCTGGCACTGCATTCTGCTTCTCTTCCAACAGAAATTCCCGCAGAGGCAAAGCAAACAACGAGAGTGCTTCAGTGCCTTGCTAAAGGCTACTGCTGGAGGAGCCTGATGCCAAGCTGAGTGACTTCAGCTGATTACCGTCTACGGTCTGTCCGAAGACAGGAGCAAAGCATGCCTTGTCGACTTTTCAGAGACTCTTTGGTTGGTTTTGGCACCCATCGTTGAAAGTATATCTAGCTTTAAGAGTCCAAAAAGAGTTTTGTCAAAGTTGTTCTGTGCTTGTCTTTTCTCCCTAACTCAACGCCGCTCCGGTCACCCCATGCTTTCAAACTCGGGTCATGACCGTTTGTTGCCGCTGGATTTTGCTTTGTCCTGAAAAGCAACAGCCAAGGTTCCCAGAAGAACCAAAAGAACAGCTGTTGCATTTGAGAACCATGAACTCTGTCCTGGGACTTCAGATGTCAGGGCCTCGGAGGGTGCATCGGAATCCAAGAGCTGTGCCTGATTTACTGCTTGGCTCTCCCTAATACTCCAATCAATCGGGGAGTATCGAATCAGGTGTTCCTCTGTGTTAGGAAGCAAGGAAAAGCCGCAAAGGCTATATATGCGTATATAATTGTGTATACATGCTAGTTACTAGATCATACATGGTTCTGAAAGGGACAAATTGCTGCAACCTTCCGCCCAGCAGCCTCTGAAACCTCTCCATCACTACCGGATCGCTCCATCTGGCAAGTAAGGCAGAGATTGAATGATCAGTCTAAATCCAGCTTTGATGTTTCGACTGGAACAGCTTGAGTTTTTCGCGTTCGCCTTTCCAAAGAACATTTAACCCAGCCTGACCTCACCACCAAACACACCAAACTCTTGAGGGTCATGATTCATGATTGATGTGGTTCTTGACAATCCGCAACATACTGGGCCTGAGCATCAGCATCAGCGTCAGCACCAGCATCAGCACTACCATCTTCTGCTGCCATGCTCGCAAGTTGTTCCTGCGGTTTCTTATGGATACACCCTTCTGCACAGTCAACAACATGAAACGATGCTCTGCTCTCTCATGATCTCTCATGTGCTCTCAAGTTCCAAGACCTCCAACAAATACGGATAGAAGCCAAAGCCAAAGTCCATGGATTCCTGGCATCAACACGTCCTACTTAGCTCACCAACACCGCGCTCCAAGGGCTTTCTTCTACACTCCAAATACGTCCGAAGGCACCTCGGAGAGGTCGAAATCCGCTCCGAACATACCTCGGAGAGGTCACGAGCATCTTTTTTTGCGAAGAAGGTCTTTCGAAGCAACAGGTCTTTGGAGTCGCACCCGTAAAGTTTGGATTGCTCCTGAGCTCTTCAATTCCATGGGCATAGCGACAGGAAGAACCAGCCTGGCTCACTCAGTGAATGTTCTAATGTGATCTAATGTGAACTGCATGAGTCTTGCTTTCGAAGACCTGTGGACAACTAAAAATACATAAAACGACTCTCCGGTGAAACCATCGAACCTTGCAGCTTCCGTTGGCCCACCATCGGCAAAGCTCCGTTTTGAAGACTGTGTCAGTCGCTCTGAGTTCACCATACCTCAGGTGTCACTCCACGCCTTCGTCGAGGCACTCCCCGGTCGCCGTCCGCTGGGGCCCCCACCCATGTGCAAACTTGCAGTTGGAGTCGTTGCACTTCCGACGGAAGAAGTTGTAGCCTGAGACACTGGCCTCTTGCTAGGCCCAAATCTGTCAGTCACTATGGACAAAAATACTGCAACGAGTATTCGATGTACATCCCAGGTCCCAACACAGCTTTGTCTTTGTCAAATCAGGTGCCTTCTGCAACTCCTCGCAGGCTGTGACCACCAAACGAACAAAGTCGGACAAACCGTCGCATCCATCAGAGGCACTTTTTCACCCCTGAAAGACTTTTCACCTTTCATCGCACTACGGCGTTTTGAGCGGACAAAAGCAGCTTGGCCTTTGGCCAGCTTTGCTTGGTCAAATCGGAAAATGATTTTGCGGAACATGCAGCTGTTTGGTGCTCTTCCGCATGAAAAGCAAAGCCTTCAAGGTCCCTCAAGTCCCATAGCTGAAGTCAAGGAGACCATTTGGGTGGTTGTCATACCTTGTTCCTTGTTCGTTCGGAAGTGTTTTGCGAATCTGAGCTGACTGAGCTCTGAAACATCTCTCAGCTTGGATCAACATGCTTCAAGTCCTGTGTGCTGCAAATGTTCGCTCCGGACCTTGCTCACATTTAGCCTGCAGATCTTCAACTGCAGTGGCTGCATGAAAGATGTCCGACAGCAACTTGTGGCTGTCTCATTATTGAACCACACAGCATTTGTCCTTAGAGTGGGCAAACTAGTTCTCTTTGAATTAAGGAGCAACCCAAGAGACCCTGGGAGGGAGGGGAGGGAAGGAGCGAGGGAGCGAGGGAAGGAAAAAGAGACAGAGAGAGAGACAGGCCTTCAGATTTCGAGAGAAAACGCTTCAGAGTATTTGAGAGATGGACAGCGACTGAGCATAGAAAATAACAAAGGTGTACCAAAGTGACAGGCAAAGTGGAACAGAGGAAGATTACACAAATCTATCATCCAAACAGGGTCCGTACATAAATCAATCAATGCGAACAAAATCGGAGCAAGTGTCTTATTATGCTAGCTGGAGATGCTTGGGAATATATGTAAACATGCAACTTGAGATGTGCAACGGCACATGTATAACATATATATATATAGTGGTTTCAGAATAGATGGCACAATCCTCAAATGTGGTTTATATGGACCCTTGTATAAGAGACATCTTGGGGATTGTGCCATCTTACTCTGAAACCACTGTACACCATCTAGATATATAGATATGGCCAGATGAATGTCTGCATCTCTGAAGCGCACCTCTTTGTTTCATTGACTGACTGTATAATTATATCCATAGTCATTGCAAATAGCTCTGTCTGTTAATGCATGCAGGAGCGTCCGGACGAACAGGCTTGGGCCTTGCCTCGGACATCGAGCATCCGACGAGCGTCCGGTGTCAGTCAGCGGTCCCGAGAGCACTCAAGCAGCGAGAAATTGCAGCTGAGAAGCTGCAGCTGCAAGCTGGTTCTCAGCTGCGATGCCAAGCTCGTTCCAGTTGACTTCTAAAGTTCCTGAAAGAGCACCTGGCAGAAACCATGTCTCAAAAGAGAGCGTGAGGTGTAAGGCGGAGGAACGTGCCATGAGCCACAACAAGAGGATTGCTGACCCTTGTGAGCGCCTGTGCCGAATGTTGAGCTTTTTAAAACGAGCGGCTTTTCGAAGCCTCAGGTGACTGGCTTTGGTGTGACTTGGAGTGATGATTGGACCAGCAGCGAGCGAAAAAAACCAAGCAGCGATACTGGAAGCGCTCTGCGTCCAAAGCATGAGATGGGCTCCAGCCAGGAAAGCGCAGTCCAATGCTTCCAAGTTTTGTGCCCTTGCTATACCTTGCGGAACACCATTGGCTGACGAAAAGAATGTGTGGTAAGCCTGGAGGAACCAGCCTGCAAATCGAACTGCTTCTGAACACCATATTGATATCGAAAAGAATCGAGGGGCTGTAGTAAACCAGCGGTCTCTATACAAATGGTTTCAATTTATGAACCATTGCTTGTTTGTCCAAACCGATGTATTAGTTGTATAGTATCTTGAGTCAACATTTCACAGATAAGCTGGAACAATGGATTCTGCGATGTCTTCCAAGTTCATTCAAGCTGCAGCACCATCACCAGAGTGCAACCTGAGCACTGTGACAGTAGACGCAAGGATTGGAGTGTGTTGAAATTTCATGAAATTCCTGCCATCCTGTCATCCTACCGATAAAGGCAAGGAACACTGCAATTCTTCTTGGTTGTTTGCTGCAGGCCGTATGGCAGGCAAGTCATATGGCCAAATCAGTTCATTGCCTTGCTTTGTCCTGTGAAAGCACGATGAGCAAAGTTCCTCTCAATGGACAGCTACCCCAAAACACAGTAAGCCCAGCACACTTTCATTTCATGCTCACCTAAGTCAGTTCACCACACCTCACACCTCCTGATCTTCAATCGAAACAACCAATGTGCTGAGTGTCTGGCACTGAAGGCTCTCCAGTTGCAAAGGCAATACAAGAGTCACCTTTGATCCCAAATGATTTGATTTTGATGTTCTTGAACTAACAAATCAAAATAACAAGGCACAACTCGAAGTCGCGTATGGCTGCCTGGCAGTCTTGCAAACAACGGCCCCCAAACTAGAGAGGTGGTTGACTCTATTGATCTCTATCACCACCGGACTCACAGGCATCTTTTCTCCTTTCAATTTGGAAAGGTTCATTCGTGCAACGCCTGAGTTACACCTGGACCTGTGACGTACCAAAAGAGGTCGTTTGCACCCATGGGCTTCGTTCCAGTGCTGCCATCCAAGTCGGTGCACAGCGTGTAGTGTCGGCCAGCTTGTAGATGGGATGCGTCGATGGTCGCGGTCCATTCGGGCGAAGCCCCAGCAAGGTTGACCGCAGCTGTGTTCATGAATGTGGCGGCAATACTGCCATCAGCGATGGTGCCGTCACAATTGATAGCAAGGTAGGCCATCGTGTCTGTAGAACAGCCACTGCAGGTTATCGTTAGTACCTGCCCTGCCGCAGCTGAGATAGTACCTCCTGAAGCTGTTACAGAAGCCATGTAGACCTGCAAGCCGGTATCCCCGAAGGAGTAGTCAGTCGCAACTCCATCGAGGTCCATACAAATCCGAAACCTCAATCCGGGAGTCAAGGCCGTGCTGTCGAGGAAGGCCAGCACCACTCCTGCCGTTCCCCCCAGTGGAGTGGTTGCAACAGAGCTGGACTGGTCTGCACTCCCAGTCTTCTGTCCGCCAAAGTCCAAGTGGTCACAGAAATACTGCTCGTCTATGATATACACACGGCTTTCGATGGAGCAGCGCTCACAATTTAAGCGCAACTCTGCAGTTGCACTTGAATAGAAGCCGTTGTACCAAGTCTTGTTTACAGGAGAGATGTAAATTGGCAAGTCGGCGTTGCCCCAGGGCAAGTGAGTGTTGCTGCCATCCAAATCAGTACACAATGAGTAGTGCTTTCCAGGCGTCATTCCTTCTGCATCCAACATTACCTCATAATCGTCTGTGGGCAAGGTGCTGGGCTTAGTGAAACTGCCATGAGCTGTCCTTTCGCCTGTGACAGCTTTCATCTCTCCATTGCTGACTGTCTCGTCGCAGTAGCTTCCCACGTAGGCCGCCGATGCATCAGAGCAACCAGTTGGGCAGGTCATCACCACAGTCTGATTTTGAGCTGGCAGTATTCCCCAAGGATTGATAGCAGTCATGGTGGTGACATAAACGAAAAAGGAAGTGTCTCCCATCCCCATCTTGGCATTGGAGCCATCCAAGTCCATACAGAGATGATACACTCCGCCCAGATCTAACTCTCTCGCATCGATGTAGAGCTTTGTGGCATCAGCGCTGGTCACCCCACCAGGGCCTGGCAAGCGATTGGTGGGCGAATTCACACCCGCAGTCGCTGGCAGATCGAAGCCAAAGTAAAGCGTTATGTCACACTCTAAGGAGATGTAACCTTGAGTGATGTCATTGCCAGGATTGCAATACGGGCAGGTGAGCTGGATCTCTTGAGCAAACTCTTGACGTATAGCAGAGGGTGAAATCCCTTCTAACCCACTCACATAGATCATGAAGCCTGTGTCCCCAAAGCCAAGGGTAGACACTGCACCGTCCATGTCAACACAAATACCATAGTATCTGCCCGCAATGAGTGAAGTTGCATCGATGTTCTCGATGGCCCACAAGTCTCCGCTCTTGTGCACCAAAGATACTGAGCCCGTGTTCTCGTTCCCATAGGAGGCCATGTAGCCCTCCGTCACAGAGCTGTCGCATTCCTTGACAAAGAGGTTCGAAGGCGTATTCGATCGCAACGCAAGGTAAGCACGAGCAGTTTCACTGCAGCCTGTCGCACATCGCACATAAACTGTCTGAAGCTCCGCAACGTTGATGCCTTTGGTGACAACCTCACTGAAAGGGGAGGTGTAGATCCGAAGAGCTGTGTCACCAAACGGATATGGCCCAGCGCCGTCTACATCAGCGCACACATGGAACTGGCGTCCTGGAGCCAGACTTGTCGCATCTACCGCCCAAGTCCACAAGTTGACTGCCGTTCCTGCAGCGATTGCAGTCGCAATCGTTTGGCGTTCGATGTCCTCTCCAGAGAGGACTTCTGGATCTCCGTTGGTAATCAAAGCGCTGCACGATGTGGAGGTCAAATAAAGCATCGTACTCGTGGAGCACGGATCACATATAACTTCAAGCTGCTGATTTGTGGCCCGAGCAACTCCCGAAGGAGTCACAGCAGTGACCCCAGTGACATAGATGGGGACACCCACATCGACAAAGCCTTGAGCATTTGGCCCATCTTCATCAATGCACGCTCTATAAAACTTCCCCTGCACAAGCCCGGTGACAACCAGTGGAAAGCTTATCACACCGTTGACAACACCAAGCACTGTCTGCTCCACCGTATTTCGTTCACCCGCGCTCGAGCTGAATGCTGTGCTGCATTCTGCTCCCACATAGGCATATGCATTCGGTAGCGATCCATCAGAGAGATCTGTGGTAAGTTCCAAGTCCGTAGCCCCACCCACATGGAAGGTGGCGCTCACAACTCCCGTAATGGAGGTGATTTGAACGGTCAGCCCAGTATCCACGAAGGCCAACTCCCTGCTCAAACCGTCTAAGTCCACACAGAGTTTGTAATCCTTTCCAGTTGTCATTGATGTGGCATCAATGATGGCATCCCATTGAGAGCCAGCTCCTGTGAGCAACACTGAAGATGTTGAGGTGGGTGCAGTTCCTAGATGTAATCCGGTGTTTTCGCTGCTGCACGCAGAGCCGGTGTCAAGTAGGTAGAGAGCCGTGGAGCGGCTACAGCCACTGCAAGACAAAGGCAAACGCTGAGACGGAGCACCCACGATGGAAACCACTTGCACTGAAGTGGGACCAGCAGTTCTCAGACTGAGACCCGTGTCCCCGGCCAACAGGACAGACGCTCCTGCGCCATCAATGTCTGCACAGATTTTGTAGAGGCCAAAGGACAGTGAGCTTAAATCCATCGTCACCGACCAAAAGCGGCGAAAGCCTGTCAATGCTGCACGAGGTGCACCAGTTCGGTCAGCACAATCCAGCGCCAAGAAAAGTTCTGTTGAGGAGGTGCAGCCAGGCACACAAGTGATCGAGAACTCCTGCGAAGAGGAAGGCTGCACCATGAGCGGCTGAACCTCCTGGATTGGAGATACGAAGACTGTCTCTCCAGTGTCCTCGAAAGCTGCAGTGTCAACCCGGCTCAGGCACACACTATACTGCATGCCTGCCGTGAGACTGCTTGCGTCTAAGCGAGCCCATCGGACACCCGCCTCCTGGCCAAGCCGCAAATGCGTGGCAGCACCGCCTGGGCTGGCACAGTCGCGGGCAAGCTTCAGTTCGAGGAGAGTCTCGCAGGCCGCGCCACAATAAAACTGCACATCTTGATTTCTTCGCGGCAGCACTGCCGCAGACGTCAGATTCCATACAACCACGTGCGCACAGCACGGCAGCCATGTGAAAGCAAGCCAAAAGACCTTCTTTGGGCCTCTGCCAGGCAACATGGCCCACATTAGCCTGTGGCCCCTTGAGGGCCCTCGCAGCTTCAAATGGCTACGGCCAGCCAAGAACACCTTCCACTCTTCCCTCCCTCCCTCCCTCCCTCCTTCCCTCCTTCCCTCCTTCCCTCCTTCCCTCCTTCCCTCCCTCCCTCCTTCCCTCCTTCCGTCCTTCCCTCCCTCCTTCCCTCCTTCCCTCCTTCCCTCCTTCCCTCCTTCCCTCCTTCCCTCCTTCCCTCCTTCCCTCCTTCCTTCCTTCCTTCCTTCCTTCCTTGATTCAGTGTCGTTGTGTACCATCGGCCACCACAACACCCCCCACCTGGCAAGGAATGGGCCTTGAGATGCTTGATCCGGACCACTGGAAAGTGCTCCTGCAAGTCCAGATCTATGCAGCAGACTTCCAAGCGTAAAAAAGGTGGGACATGGTGTCCTTTGAAGCCTCTCTCTGCAGCAACTGGCCTTGCAGACTCATGCCATTCGTGCCACTCGCAGAGTTTTTCGTCAAAGTAGAACAGTTGACATCACCGCACCTCTAGCTGCCGGTGTCTTCACATCCTCAAAGACATCTATACACACTACATATTATGTATAAATAATACGTCAAGTGTGTGTGTGTGTGTGCGGAGAGCTTGGTTCTAAAGATGCACATTGATTTCATTCAAATTCTTACATTTGCTGGGTTGGCGGCAAAGTGAGCATACACTGGCTTGTGATCGCTGCTGCTGACTTGCTCTGCAGAGGAAAGCAATCGCTGCACCGCATTCCCCTGCATTCAACAGCAAAACGAAGACCTGAAGTCCTTCAATCAGGCCTTCCACAGAAAGAATATGAAAGAATCATGTGGGTCTGGGTGAAAACAAAAAATCCCAAAACCATTTTGGGGGGTCAATGGGGATAGTCACCATCGCCTGTTTAGCTCACGGTGCGCAAGAGTGAAACAAACCTTGCCTGCGAAATGAACTAACATACAGACATCAGAGTATATGTAGTAGGATTCACATTGTCTGCTTCTTCTTGAACCGGAACCGCTCCTCTAAGGCTTCAGTGGACTTCCAAAGGATCCGATCGCAGTAGGACGGAGTCCTTTCCTTGCTTTAGCAGAGTTCGGCGCGTGGCGGTTCGAGGAACACATTATGAGCTCACATGTCTTGTGTTGGCAAGTCTCAGATTGATGACTTACACCAGGTTGTCTTTCTACCTTGAAGGTGGGTGCAAAATCAGCTTGCCCCTCGTTGAAGCCAGCAAAGGCCTTCGCAAAGAAGACTGATCTACAAAAATCGCATCAGCGAGTCAGCGGATTATACATTTCTGTGGAGACGTGTGGATACATATTGCCTTTCCAGCATCTCTGAAGCGGCGAAGCTGATCATACTTCATAAGCTCCTGAACGCAAAGCGGCAGCTAAAAGAAATCTGAAGCGGACACACCAAAGCAACGCTAAAGCGAGCAAAACCCGCCTCAAACTCTCTCTTGTCAATCATCTCGCAGACCGCGGAAAAATCATCCGGCCGCGAAGGAGCACTGGGTGCAAGTGAGTCCTTTCCAAGACGTACAAACCTTTCATGAGGACGTCACTCATGTCAGTTGTCCTTGGGTGGTGACACACCACGCTGCTTTCCCAAGGCCAGAGTTGGTAGCTCCTGGCAGTGAACCCCAAACTATGTGGTTTCTGCCGCCACACCGTCAAAGCAATCCGCACCATGAGCCTCGTCCACTGAGAGATCCAGTCTGTAGTTTAGATCGCCAAACCAAAAGCAATGGTCAAACCTCAGTGGTTCCACTGCAGTTTGTTCCGTTTCAACGCTTGCGTACTGCGTACTGAGGACGTCAACGAAGGAGGACAGGGCTCTGAGGCTTGGACTGGGTCACGATATCTAAATCGGGGTGGCAAACTGGCCATGTCTCTTGCAAAATCTCCCGACAATCATTATTGCGCTTCTCAGCAGCACTCCTGGCAGATTAACACGGACTCGGGATTCACATGGATTGCATTACACTCAAAAGCAGCTATATCGGCTCCAGATCGAACTGAGTGTCAGGCGTGTGGGCCGCCAAATGGCAGCTTACAAAGCACAAGCTCACTGGGCCAAACTGAAGCGTGGCGACGAGGCCACCTTTGTTGCCAACCTGCGTGGTCACGCGTGTCGCGCACCGTAGCTGCCGAGGCGCTGGACTTCTTTCTAGGCGTGATTTGCATCAGCATGGGCAAGCAAGAGTGCTTTTGGCATGATTCTTGAGGAAAGAACTCAGTGTAACATGACGTACCAGTTGATGATGCAAGTAGTGTTGCAAAAATATTGTAGCATTTCTTGCATTACGACTGCCACTATCTTTGGGAGCTTCAATAAGTGCGTGATATGAGATGGAATAGGAGAGCGGGGGGTCTCAAACGTACGAGAGATCGAGCAAGCGCCCAAGAGGAACAAGGTCTCAAAGTGCGTCTCAAGAAGCAATTTTGTTTAGTGTGCCGGAGACCTCAAAACCTCAATCACATTGGCAGTAAGATTGAAAGCGAGGCAGCGGGTGGCTACCACAAGTCTATATCCAATGAAATTTCTCTGAGTGCACTTGTGGATGTCTTTGCAAGAATTGGCGGATGGTTGGATAATGACGCTGTAACAATGAAATGGATGAACCAGTGCATCATATCCCTACCACAAATCTGTATCCAGCCAAAAAGTTGTTGGTACCGCCACAAATTACAGCGGGTGAAGGTTCCAAAGTGCAGCTTACATGGTTCATTAATGTTTCCATGATTTGGCACCTCAACAATGTGATATGTCAAGTTGTGTACACAAAAGATGTAATGTTACACATTGCAGGTCCCAGCAATTTCACGCAAAAGCCTGGGTCCTCAATAATGTAACCTTACAGTTTCATGGGAATCACATGTAAAGAAACAATTACAATTATATATATATATAAGTGAATTAAAGGAATGACGAAAGAGGAACCTCCAAGCATGTAAGTTATACGTTTGGGGGATGGCTGGGAAACATGTACCTTGCATTATCGGAGGTTCCTCTTTCTTCATTATTTCATTTGTTTCCTGTTTTCCTTTAGACCTGTCTTTCTTTCCTCCGTGTTTTGGTTGTTTCTTCCTTGTTTCCTTTGGACCTTTCTTCCTTTTGTTTCTTCCTTTCTTTCTAGTTGCCATTTGACCGCAGGCACGGGTCACACATGAACAGTGCAGTATGCATCTTAAGCTGTCTAGTTTCCATATCTTTCCTTTGGGCATCCAGATACGTACCACAGTTTTGGAGGCCTCTGAAAATTGGTTCTGGCAATTACAAAATGTGACAAAACAATGCAAATCCCACTCATCTCCAGCGGCTTCAGGGGGTGCAGAAATGCAACTTGCAAGGTGGGAGGTCTGATTTTGTTGAGCTCCCTCCCCAAAAAGATACTGGCGGGGTATTCAACTTAACTTTTCTGGGCCTCCCAAGCCCAAAACCAAGCGAAAATCACGTTCTTGCACTGCCATAAAGAAGAGCCCACCATATAGGGTGAAAAAAAGAGAGAGACAGAGACAGAGAGAGAGAGAGAGTTTCTTGTTCCCAGTTCCTGCAGACTTGAATTCCTACAAATATAGAATCGCGTGTCATTTGTCTTCAAGTAAAAGAAAATGTAGACTCGACCATCTTCAAGAGCTTGGAACAAAATGACTGCAACGAAAGTTTCACTTCAGTAGTGAAATAGTAGTGAACGGACTGTTCAAGGTCTGTACCAAACATAGCATCCAATAATCCAATGGTCCAAGATTCACCGTTACACTGCTGAGGTCTGCACAGTACCTGCCAGCAGACCCGTCGCTGAGTATGTGTGCTGCACTGAGTGGATAAGTGGACCATCTTGCCATTTGATTGTCCCATCACCTGCAGTTGCCACGCAACTAGGAGCATTCTTGCTACTAGGGGCTCCTGGTGTCGCTACTAGGAGCAAAGACGCGACTGGGGAGTTAAAACATCGGTCCGATCCATCTAGGCTGAAGTAGCAGTGCACAGTATGCACTTCAGAATCCTTTGAAGCCTGCCCAGTCACAATATTGCGTTTTGGCAAAAACCAGCAAGCGCATATTCATCAACACCACCTGAAAGGGCACGCAAGAATCGACCACTCTTCTTGTCAAGCCTCCCAAACGTCAGAGTTTTGTGACACAAAATGAACAAAGTCTCTCACCTGCTGTACTCGAGCAAATCCATCTCCTAATCTCTCAGCCAGAATATCGTCCCAGTGAAAAGAGAATTTTTCTTCTCCAACATCCCTGCTCTTCCGTCTCTCTGGACGCTCAGAACGAGGAGAACTCCCGAAGGCGTGCAAGGCTTCCTCCACAGCACCCGACAACATGGGCAGCTGCGTTTTGCCACTTCCTTTCAAGGACTTCCGTCGCTTGGGATTCCGCATAGGTGTAGCAACCCACTCAGAAACCCAATCGTAGCTGCATTCTTGAACACCAACAACCACGAGGTCAAACTCACCTGGCTAGGGAGCATAGAGATTTCTTGAAAAGGAATGAAGAAGTTTCACATCTGAATCAGGATAGCTAAAACGTAGGTCAACCAAACCACGTTGACAGCTAGAAGGACTGCATGGGGCCGGCCTCCTCCGCTAGGCAACCAACACTTCAGCTCTTCCTCTGAGGGCTTTGCATCTCCCATATTCCATGTGAAGCAAAGAACCTCAAACTTAGCAAAGAACCAACTTCCAAACGTCTTTGGTTCAGTTAAACTTAGCTGTGGCCTTCCAGATCAAATGTGGATTTCACCAGCAGCAAAAGGAGCAGCCCCATCATACAGCTTCGAAAGCGGCATGCATGAGTCGAATGAAAGCAAATCTGCTGTGTTTGACATTGTGCAACAAAGGGCATGGGGCAAAGGAGAGGACTCGAGACAACTCAATGGAAACTCTTCCAGATTTGACTGGGCACCTTGATGTGTTCCCATGCATTCTGCACATCGACAACCAGCGACTCCTCTGACGAAACGGGACATCCCACCTGGGCAGGCTTTGCACACTCAAATGCCCATCGGGGCCGACTCCAAGTTCTTTTCTTTCCAAAGATTGGTTTTACAAGCCCTGGATTCTTTCTCCATCAGCAAGAAAAAAAAGGAGTCAAGAAAAGCATAGCTTCCTCGCAGCACAGACTTTGCAGAATTGGGTGTTCAACTATCGCTGCAAACAAGGAGCTTGAGGATCAGCTGGCCGCTGTACTTGAACAGAAGCAATGGTCGCGGGTCGCGGCATACATCCGCATGTGTTGTAAGGGTGCGTTCGAAGTTTCAAGTTGTAGGCAGAGTTTGGATATTGACTCGAAGACTTGAAGTCTATGAATTTCGTGTGGGGGGGCGGGTCTTCATGTTGTCGCCTGCAACAAATTGCTGGGCGAGTTGTCACCAAACATTCAAAGAATGGGTGGATGGTGTCCCAAGTTTAATCTTGGAGCCTTATTGGCTTCAGATCAAGCGTCCAAGTATGATCTCAACAAACGCCTCTGAATCATTCCACAAGTTGAGACAAACTTGAAGTGAAAGCTGCAACAAGCGTCCTCCTCAGAATGTGCAAAGGGGCAATTGGAGCCCATGCTGCACTTTTGCTTCTTGTTGAAAACCTTGGCGGATGGTTGATTTGATTGTTTTATTCCCAGTGCTGTCAGGTGCGTTGAAAGTGTTGACAGGTTTGTATGATGCCAACAAGGCTGGTCGCGCGCGTGACTTCGGAACATTGGGCCACGAACACATAGCTTGGTTTTGTGAAACTGCTCCTTGATCTGCGGAGAGAACTTGCTGTTCAACCTCAAGATCTCGAATATTGCTGGAGTATCCAAGCTTGGAGCAAGAGTGTTGAAGGCTATCAACAAGTGCAGAAACCACATCGATCTGGCAGTGGGTCAAAGCAGGGCGACCCTGGTTGACCACCGAAAATGAACAGAATAGACTACTAAGGAGATCAACCTATCAGGGTTTGGAGCTCCAGGTTGTGACCCACTGCCATCTCTCCTCTGGGATCGAGACATGTTCGGATCCTCAGACCACTGTGCCACAGCGGACGGGAACACCAAAGGACCATTGATCATGTCCTGCGGACGGGACGCATTGATTCCCCCGTGTGAGGTGATCCGTCCGGACGATGTGAAGCCAAAGGACAGGGACGAATCGGTGGTCCCAAGTCTGACGACCGTCTGACCGTCTAGTCAGACCGTCGATGACCGTCGAACCAGAAGGAAGTGTTGTTTTTTCCACTGGAACCGCTCCTCGGCCACTCCAAAGGATGTCCAATAGGCCACATTGTTGTCCAAGCCCTGGATGGGAAAGAAGGACACGTTGCCCTGCCCAAAGGAGCACTAGTGGCACAGGCTTCTTCCACGAATGCCTGGTTGGAAAACACAGATTGCTCTGAGTTGATTACAGGCCATCCTGGCAGCAGCAGCAGCAACGGGCAGTAACACCACTGGCAACTGGCAACCGCACCAAAAGCAGCATCAACAACCAACAACATCTGGTCGGCGCAGCGAAAGGTCTTGGAAGCTCCGACGAAGTCCGGGGAAGATATTTGCTGCCAAGGCTAGAACCCATTTAAGATCACGTTGTGTTTACCAGTACCTAGAAACTTCAGCTCCAGGTGGTCCTTTGCCATTCCCGTGTCTGGAGCCACCGTCAGGCATGAGCGACCACGGACGCGCGAAGGAGCCGAACCGAACGTGTGAAACCCGTGCAAAAACACAAATCTCCGTATTGGACCAAAAGTCTGGCCTCACCGGACTGCTCAAAAAACTGCTGGCACATGATCCTTGGAAGAAGCTGAAGAACCGATGCGTTTCTCTTCAAAATCCCAAGCCAATTCGTCTTGTCTCAAAAGATGACAACAACTTCCCCCCTCGTCAACACAAGAGAACCCTAAACCCTAAACCCCTTAGGGGCGAAAGGATCCATCTGATGATCGTCCTTCCACAAGACTCCCATGGAGCCCTTTTCGGCACTCGGCCGAGTGGCACAAAGCTGGGATCCACGAAGTTCACCACGGCACAGTTGCCATACTCTTCTTGCCTGCGAAGAATAAGGGGGGAAAGCGAAAGGCGAAAGGCGTTCGGCCGTGAAAGGAAAGGTTTGCTCGGTTGGGCAACTCAAGTTCCAACAATCCCACCTCTCGGGTGGCATATAAAAGAAGTTATACGCGAAGCCACATGCATCCAGCTGAAGCCTGCAGCTCAAGCCCAGCGCAAAGAACTTGCACCATGAACCACAATGAGCCTCAACGACTGCGCGTCAAGATTCGCGATCTCAGCAATGACCACCTTGGCCCGGCCGTTTCATGAGGTAATGAGATGATGCCAAAAAATTAAGGTCAAAGCAGTGGTCAAAGGCAACGCTTGGGAGTCTTCGGCCTGAAAAGAACACATTCCAAGTTCCAAGTGTTCGTTTTCAGTATATACCCAGACACTTACGACTTCTGTTCCCGAAATGTCCGTCCCCGAAATGGCCGTCCGGCTGCCTCTTTCCGTCCTCGTCGTCCCCGTCGGGACTTCTTGGTTGGGACCGGCTCGGAGGCCATGGCCATGGCATAGCCGGACGCCAGCACCGCCTCATGGCCGTGGCGCGGAAGTTACGCGCGCATTGCGGCGTGTGCTGGATTCCTGGCCTGGAATGGCGTGGTCATTGACATCGGGACAAACTCTGGAGCATCAGCTTTGAATGACCTTGGAGAAATGAGAAAGATTGTTTTTTTATTTTCTAACGGGGGTAGGCCGCGAGAAGAGGTAGTAGCTAGGACGCAGGATAGCTCACGCTCCTTCAAGGAAGGTCCCCCGCCGCTTCCCCCGCCTGAGGGCGGGGGGAGCTTCCTTGAAGAAGCGCTCGAACTAATGGTTCCTGGATTTTTAAACTTGACGCGAAGAAAAGTCCTAGTGGGCAGGCGAAATCATGTCTGGGGCGAGGGCACGAATGCAGATTCTGCCTAGCACCACATCGCAGCCATTCATGCGCTTACAACTTATAACCTACAACAAATATAACAAATATAGAGATTTAAAAAAATAAAGCATCACAGCGGCCTCCTCCTCCACTGGCCTCAAAAATGCTAACTCAATGTGTAACATGTGTGTGTGTGTCCAACTTGTGCAACTCGTGGAACTACTTTGAGTTTTGTTTTTTCCATGTGACCTCAGGTCGCAAAAGTGGGACTCTCCATCCACCTTGCCTCGCCGGTCTTCCAGCCACCAAATCCGCAAAGCTTCGGACCAGCTGGCAGTGCGTCGCAGTGTGCTAAAGCTATGCGCTATGCGGACTAAGGAGCTCAAGGAACTCAAGGGACTATGCCCTTAACAGGTACAGAATTGCAGAATTTACATTCTGCTCTTTCGACTTCTCGTGGCCCACCTTGGGTTCTTCCGGCTTCACGTCGGCATTTTCTTCCTCTGCAGACGAATCCTCCGCATCTGCCTCTGCTGCTTCTGCCTTTGCTTCTGGCTTCACCTCTTCCACTGCAGCCTCCGGAGCAAGTGATGTATCAGGAACATCTTGCTGTTGCTCCTGACTCCAGCCACAGGACGTCACAGGTTCATTGCTGCCAACTGTGGCACTGGACCTAGGAACTGTTACAAATGGTTGGAAAAATAATGACAAAAAAAGCGACGCCGTCCTCTTTAAAAGGAAGCCGTTTGCTAGGTACGACTGCAGCTTCTGGCTTCTCTTCTTTCGGCTTTGCAACTTTTGGTCGATCTTGTCGTTGCCGCAGCCGCTGCTTCTGACGCTTCGATAGAATAGGACCCGTTTCATGAAGATCATCTGGAGCTGCGGCCACTGCGTTCTCTCGTAGATCGTCCGACACTTGCTGAGGATCCGGTTCTGCTGCAGGTTCCTGTCCAAATCAAGCAAAAATGCTTGTGATGACCTGATGTGCTCATGAAAATCACCCGCCTGCTCACTCGGCATTTGTCCTGACTCACTTGGGCCCGAGAAGGTCCGCTCTGGTGCATCGCCTGCAAAATGGATGGAGTAAGAACGGCGGTTGGGTTGTCAAGGCAGCTGCGGCCTCTTCGCTTCACGCGCGATCTTGATGAACAGCTTTTGGTCCAGCCGTCTTCGACCTCGCATGAGCAAGCCACTGATCAAACCGAACAGCAGCTTGATGACGAACATTCCAGCCTCTGGTGTGTCTTCGTCCTGCGTAGGGCAAAGGCCATTTGAAGCAAGACTTTGGTGACTTGAGTTTGACTTCAAACTTCTCCCTCTCGTTTCCCTTTTGTATCCCTGTTGTTTGCCGCCTCATTCGCCAACTTGTCAGGCACAGGGCTGAAGTTCTCCTGCCAAGGCTGCCATTCCGCCAAAAAGGCTACACACTCTCCTGAAGTCAGATTACATAGCTACCCATGAGACCATTAGGCGCAGAGTCGAGAAGTCTGCGAAGAATCCGCATTGGCTTCAAATGAAGTTTGCTTTTCTGACTGCGAGTCCGCATCTGGGACCCGCAGCTCGGCCTCGGCTGAGCCTCGAACGCCCCCGGCCTTGTCTGGGAGAATCTGCGAGTCCATCGAGTCGGCTTTTTGGACACCGTCCGAGTCCTGAGACCGGACGCGACAGCCGCGGCCGAACGCGACTGGTCAGCCGCCCGTTCGTTGGCTGCCTCCTCGTCGTCTTCGGGCTTCTCAGGATCGACCTGCAAA